GAATTGAAAATGATTTACCATAGTAACTGACTTGCTAATGTCTGTGGACATAAAAACATTTATATTCTTGATTAATTCTCAAATTTATCTACTTAAAATGGCTGTCAACAATGTTGATTTACCTGCAGTATGTTGTTTACATTATTATTAATATTCTTTTTCTTTTTCTTTTTTTCATAGTCTATGCTTCAATCTGAAGATTTTGATTTAATCGCATATGAAGCACAGCGTATTGTTGATCAAGTTCTCGCTCAATCATTACTTAATGTATATAATACATCTGATACGAATTTAAATGCAAATAGAAATAATCATGAACGAGGTCGTTTTATTGAATTAGAAAATGATGAATGGCAAAAAAAGTCACAAGGACAATCGATTGTAAGATGGCCAACAATTGATGAATTTACCCATGAAAATGTTGGTTTAGATAAAATTAATGAATATATTGAAAAGGTAAATAAAGAACTTGTAGAAAGAAGATTTCGTTCAATATAAATATTTATGTAGATTTATGATGTTTAAAGTATTTTGATTAAAAACAAATTTCGACATATTATTAAAAATGTTGAGCATACAAAGTTTTGAAACAATGAGTTTTTATTTTAGAATTCACTCAATAATGAACAACATGCCCTTATGAACAATATTTGATTAAAGTCAGATTATAAAAGAACGTCGTAAAGAAATAAATCAGTTTTTTAAAAACCTCATTAGACTGATACTATGGTAACTAGAGATAATGTTAAAGGATTCATACACATGGGTTTGCCCTCTTGAGCTATGGCGGTTAGGAATAAGTTTTGTAACAAAATGCTGGTCTCTTCTTCAGACTACTTTCAGAATAAACTTTTGAATTCAAACTTTGGAGAAATAATTTTTTCCGAGATTGTAACTTGACATTATCTCAATAAACTAGTCCTATTGAGAACATTATTTGTATAAGATTTGAATTGAAAAATAATTTTTGAAAGTTGTCTGAGGAGAGTACAATTTTTTGTTAAGATCACTCATTATACGACCTGTTCAATAGTGATGAAATCATTAAAAATAGACATTGGATTTGAATCTTATATAAAGAACTGAAAAAATTAGCTAAAAATGTTGTTTGCTTGAACGATACACTCTATATATGAAAAAAGAAAATTTGAAAAATATTAATATAAGACTTTCGAGAAAGGAGAACACTTCATGATGAAATCCTGTTTTAAGTAATGTTCATGTTTTTCTTGACGTTTATTTCTTCAGACAGTTGACTTTAGTTGATCGAAACAAACAAACTGATATCAATTGCTAAAAAACAATCATGACAGGACATTTATCATTATCGTTCTCATAGCGTAAAAGTTTTGCTATAAGAGCATCAGGTGTATATCAAACATTACGACTGAAATACTGTCCTCCATTCTGATGATGACAATAGCTCGAAACTATCATAAATCAACTTCAAATTTAGGTAGTGAATTTCTAAAAATCTCTTTACCTATCACAACTTATGAAGAAAATAACAATTCTAATGAAACTGGTGGTTTCATTAAAAAGTCAATTAGTTATTTATTTCTATAGGATGTAAAAAAGTAATGTTAGAGCATTCATTCATAGAATCAGAAATATCTTGTTTTACACTAAGAATGAATTAAAAGCTATTATCACGACAGAATCATTTTCATAAATGGGCTACTGTTCGAATGCAAGTATCTTTCTTAAGAGGTAGATTTCTTTTTATGTTTAAAGAATCTACTCCAAGCAGTTTTAGAACATAGGATCAGCTTTGATAAAAACCATCTTTGCTTATATGAAAAATTACGAAAAAAAAACATATGAAGAATATTGATACTAAGTGATATCTTTATAAAATATTTTCTCTACAATATAGGAAGCTACATAGATAAAAACTATACTTTTGTATACTATCGATATTGTCTTACAAGACAAGATAAAAAAAAACCATGGACACAAATCCTTGTAGCCTTTTCCTATTCTCAATAGAAGGTAAACCTAACGCGAGAAGATTCATTTCAAATAAAATTACCATTTTGTGAGGTTCGTTCGTTAGCTTCTTGCGATCGTGTTTATCTCTGACAGCACAAAATGTATTGAAATGATCATTATCATAAAATTATTGTGTTATTCAGACCATACGATTAGGACGAAGAGGTGCAATATAATGTTTTCTTCCTGAAAATTTCCTGCGTTCTGCATTTCTCCTTGATGCATTTAATGGATACTGTAGAATACTATGTACAAACTTGAACATGCTTCAGCCAAGTAGCTTATTAGGTATTCTATGAATATTTTATCTTAAAATATATAAATTTTCAATTATGTACATTAAATACTGATATAATGTACTTTTTCAGGTTTAATACTTAGAAGACTTTCGTCGGATGTCATGGCCGGTACACGGTTATTTTTTCAGGTGAAGAAATATAGTTCGAAATGATTTCTTTTTAATTCCGCATCATCCAATAGTAGATGTTGTGAGTAAACAGAAGAAAACCATTCCCATTCACCTACTCCATTCTATCTGAGAATATATATTTTTTTAAAACTGATAAATGAATGGTTTCTTTGTAGCTTTGAAAGACTTTCTCCCTTAACTTTTTCTCCTCCCAAATAGAGCCAGAAGAAAGCTATTGTGTTATTACATGGACAAGTTGACTTTGTCTACGATTTTTCAATTTTTAAACTCAATAAAAAAATCAGTTCAATTTATTAAAGGAATGGAAAACAACACCAGGTGGTCAAGATGCATGTTGGTTATATGCAATCGATTTTCTTGAAAAAAAGGCTCTTGAATTTACTGAACTTTATATATATCGAGTAAATAGAACTTTTTTTGTTTCAAAAATTATCTTTACTTTTCAATTTTATTTCTTGGTAGGTTCGTTATTCAATACCAACACGACGACAACCAATACCAAGACAAACAGTATCTATATATTTTACTCTTGATGTTTCTAAAGTTAAACCTAAAGTAAATAAGTATATGTATATAATAATTTCATAATCTCAAGTTTTATATATCGTAGAATACACCTATTCAAGTTTCATTTGTATTGGAAACAATGCGACTCGTTCATCATCCAGATACATTTCGTTTTCGCCAAACATGGTTAGAAAATATTATTTTATTAAAAGAAAAAATGACAAATGGAATTGATTTTTAATTGATTCTTTGTTTTTTTTTTAATTCTCTTCATTATCTTTGGTCTGTAGATTAATCAACATAAATAAAATGAAAGTTCACAATGATAAATGATTTAATATATATTTATAATAAATGTACATATCGCATGAATTCTTCTTTTTTTCTTTTTGGTTGCATTCATAAAAAACAGAAAATCGTAGCTAGAGGATAAATGATATCGACTAAACATAAGTGTGCATATCTCTTAAAGATAACAAACAAAAAATAGGTGAACTGTTCACTAACATCGCACACGCTCTTCTAATATTCTGTAAGACTATGTGAAAAACAAAAAAAAGAAACGACTGAAGAATATTATCGAAATGTTTTATGTTGTATTGCATTGATGATGATAAAAATGAACATTAAGCAACAAGTGATGTTGTTAAAGATAGACAATTTTGATCAACTGATGGTCGTTTAAAGAAATTTAAGGGTTCATTTTGATCTGGCTCTGATTGATATTTACCTAGAATGAAAAATTATACGAGACATATTTATTAGAAAAATAAAAAATTGAACTGTTTAATATTTACGTCATCGGCTTGAACTTATCTGATGAGCATTACGATTTTCAAGCGTAAGTTATTACTCCTTTTATTCTTTCACAAGTCTTATAAATATAAACTGATTCTAGACATAGACATATTGATCTTACGAGAGAACATACAAAACTGTCGAACACTTTCTCGAGATCTTCAATTCCCAAATAGACTCGATTACTGTCCCCTTTTTGGGTGAACCGTTGTTTTTTCTTTTGGAAATTAGATATCTTGAGAATAATGATTATCAAACGTGCCTATAGGCGAAAATACAGACCAAACCTTTTCGTGTTGAGTCTTTCGAAAATGTATTGCTCTCAGTAAAGATTTCATTCAAGCGATCACAACTCTACAACAGTAGGTCATGAACCTGAATCCCTTTAAGCTTTTCTTAGTATCACAGAGACCTACTAGCAGTCATAATAGGAAGTCACGTGGCAGTCGACACTTGGATATGTCACTTAGTCAGTTTCGATCGTGATTTCGACGGAATTGGAACCGCGATTGAAACTAAGACAATGGATATTGTTTATACGTGTAGCCAATAAGAAAGATATCAATAACTAAATCGGTCTCAGTTTAGTTTTCAGGTACTTCTAACTGTTATATAGTGATAGAAAATTATTATAAGTTCTATGCCGATAGAATATGTTCGAAAAGTAGTCTCAGAATTGAATCAATTGTTAACCAGGATTATAAGAAGTTAATCCCACTTATGTTAACTTTATTTGCAGCTTTCCGTCAAATGCATGATAATTTGGTTTTAGAAAAGCTCATTTTCATAGAAAAGTCATAAATAATTTTAAACAATTTAAGATTAGTGTTTCTCCAGTTTCAGACTTTCCACTTACGGATATGTTTGTCATGAAAAATTTTATTCGCATTAGGTTACAGTGCATTCGGAAAGTAAGCCAAAGTCAAATATCTTTAATTCAATCTTCTTTCGTAATAGTCTCACAGAAAGCTTTACTTCTATAACTCAATTTGTCACAGGCTGTAATGGATATGTGCATTACTAAGTTTTCAGTAGGGAGAGGGGGACGAGTGCAAATTTCTAATCCTCCATTGCCATGTTCGTTTCAGATAGTGTCTTGTAAAAGTACTACATCGAGAAGTCTTCACTATTTTAAGAACATTTTATAATTATTAAAATATCTATATGAACAATCGTGTTCTTTTGGATTTAATAAATTCTATTAATGCTGAACTCTGCATTTGGTCTTGTGGTGTTCGAATAGTGCTCAACATTAAAATAAGATCTTTTTCTTTTAATGTTTAGTAGATTTTGAACACTTACCACTACAAATTTTCTTCTTAAGTAATGATACACGATATCCTCGACATGCAAATTCAAAATTGATTGATGAAAATAATGCATTTTCAGCAAGAAACTGAACATGAACAACCGATGATGCTGTTAATGGTCTTTGTTGTTGATCATTATCATCATTATCTGTTGTTGATTGAGCTGTCATTATAGATGCTGTAAGAGTTCCTGAACCATCAAATATATATGGAACCTTCCATGATAATTTATGTTCAGTTGAAGACCTATTTATCAATATAGAGTATATAAATCATAAACGAAAAAAGCAAAAAACAAAATATTCACCATTCAGCCATGGGTATTGATTGATTTATTTGTTGACCATCTGTTACTACTGTATAAAATGTAACGGTATCATTAACTAATCGAACGGATTCTGGTAAAGCCGAACTATTAAAACGATAATTTATATTAACTGATATTGTATCAAATGTACGTGTCCATTGTGATGTTACTTGTATTGGAATGTTTGATATTCCTGTATGTTTAACCTTTGATAATAAAAATGAAATATTGTTAGATTTAATGAAAAGAAAATGAAATACAATATTCTCACTTCATATTTAAGTATTCCAAAATTGAAAAAAGGTAATGAACGATTTTTTTCTTGTAAATTACGAAGAATATTACTTAATGCTGACATATTAAATGAATAAGTTGGTCCATCCGAAGACTCTACTGATGATTGATTTCTATTTTTAAATAAAAAAAAATCAATTGATAATTTTTTTTTTCTTTATTTATTAGACTTACAAGGTAATTAATTGAGGATTTGCAATAATATTTTCTACTTTATTTAAATTTTGTAAACGAAATTCTAATGTATTTAAAATAGGTGTTGGATTAACAAGTAAATTTAGAATAGCAGCTGGAAATGAAACAAGCATATCACCAAGAATTCGAATTTTCCATCTGATTAAAAAAAGAAGAAGAAATTATAATTTAGAACTAAAATGAAATTTCTTTTCTTTCTTTTACTTTGTTTGATCATCACCAGACATCATAACATGAATTGTTTCTTGAAAAGCAACTGCTATTGGAATTTGATCACTAGCACCAATTGTTAATGGAGATATTCGTTGATCTATTGATGTCATTAAACTATTAGAAAAACTTTGACTGTTCGGACCAGTAAATGGTGTCATACGACCATTTGCAATTGAAGGACCAACTGAACTAAGTGTTGGTTGTTGTTGCTGAAAAACATATGAAATATAAAATTTAATGATTCAATTGAACTTTATATTTTCTATTGAATTGCAAAACAAGCAAAACAAGTGATTTTTATTTAAAATGCAGCTAGGTAATTTATCTAATTCAATTGAAAAATGAACTTTTAAATTAGTTATAAGAGATTTAAACAATTTATTTAAATGAATTCAAACTACTTTTTTTTTTTTACAAACAGTATTAAACCTTTCAGGACGAGAAATTCATATAAGCATTTCCTGTCAAGAAACGATTCAGATTAGAACTTATATTCTAGTAGTTCAAGTCATGGCCTTGATAAATCTAATTTGGTTCCGATCTGGAGAAAAGTATCCCACAAATTGATTCATATCACATCGAAAACAAGTTCTTCAATGCTTGTTTTTTTTATTTATTTAGTCGACGATTAGCATTTTCCGGGTCATCTCGCTTGAATTATGTTCTAATTGATATGATTGATAACTATAGAATATTTGATTATAGTCTTCAGTTCCGGTCGGGACAAATTTTGTTCTGGTAGTCTCAATCTCGGCAACTTCTCTTTCTCTTGGTGTTCCGATTCCGCACATCTCAAGTTTAGATTTATTCAAGCGAACTATTTATCATCGATCTAACTAAGTTCGTAAACATTCTTATTCTCTTCCTCAGCTGTTCAATTGATTATTTAATATATTTTAATTTTTATTACTATCTAATAATGTGACATTCTACTGTTGTAAACAACTCCCCTTCAGACAAAAAAATACTATAGATTAACAATACATTAATTACATTTTATAATAGTATAAGTACAGAACGTTTGTTTTGTACTTATTCTATTGTAAACTATACAGTTTCGTTTATGTATTGTAAATCTTGTATTGTTTGTCTAAAGAAGTTGCTTCCAACAACGAAACGTCACATTATTGTATCGTAATAAAAAGTTAAAATATATTGAAGAATCAATTAAAGAATCAAGGAAAAGAATAAAAATGTCTATGAATTCATTAACCTTCTTCATAAGAAAAGAATTGATCTAGTTGGCATTGTTCTATGATTTGGTACGAGTGACATACACGAGCACCATACTAGTCTTTGAAGAATCAATAGCGCTGATTAGAAATGAAAGTTACTTCACTTAAACTGATTCCATGTTTCATTATTTTGCTTCGAGAAAAAAAATTCAATCCTGAAAGGGTTAATAATATCTTGATCTATGAACTCTTTTTTGATTCATCAATGGCATACTTTTTTCTTTTTCTAAAAGATCGATTATTATACATATCAATTAAATTATTTATAGATATTCTTATTAGCTTAACTTTTCTAAGATTATTTTAAAACTTAATAATAATTATGCATAAAGCAATTTATAAAACCTCATCACTGTATCTTCGTATACGACACCATAATTTAATATTCGATGGAGGAATAAGACGAGGAGGGAATTTCAATGAAGAATTATTAGTTATTTTAACAGTGATATTGTTCATTGAGATGCTATGTAAGGAATCTATAGTATGAGGAGAAGAATTTTAAAGTAATTATATTGAAAAAATTTTACGAATAGATTCTGTATCATTCAATGATACGTTAGATAAGCTCTCTCGAGCTGTATGAAATGAATCAATTGATATTTGTTTTGTTAAATTATTCGTCATTAGTTCGTCAGTTTGATTTGTTGAAAAACCAAAACTTGTTTTTGTTGTTATTGGTATTTTATGTCGTATTGATAATGGATAAATTTTTCGAAAAATAATTGGTGTTTGTTTTGTTGAAATTTTCCAAATTGAACGAATACATGTAATAATTGATAATCGAATTTGAAATATTTTTTTTAATGAATATTTTTCGTGAAATATTATATGAGATTTTAAATTAATTAAATCGGATTTTGATTTTTTTATATTAATTTTATATTCATATGGTTGAATAATAGAAAGATTATTTTCAGATGAATGATAAAAAGAAGAAAAATTATTATGCTTAAAGAAAACAGGAAATACATGAAAACAAAAACAATGAATATTAACTCTTACAAATGGTTGCCGAGCTCGAGGTGGTCGTGGAATTATAAATGGTGCTGTTTTATTTGTTGGACTATCAACAGGAAACGAATTCGCCACTTCAGTATCATCGTCAGTCAATGATACTGCTGTTGATTTTTTACCTAAAATATATTAAATAATAAAAGACTTTCAAAATGAAAGCCTTCGAATAATAGCATAATGACAGTTCACAGTTCTAAGAATTGATCTTTTTTTGAGAACAGGGTCCAGTGACCAGTTGTTTTTATATGGACTCGGTGTACTGACAATGATAATGTAGCGATTCTATTCAGTACTTGTTACACTTCTCAAAACAAAGAAGTAGTTACCAATAGTAATTCTTTTCCAAAAGAACTAGATGAGTGATATCAGTTCAGTTCCTTAATTTCGAACTGTCAAAGGTCTGTTTCCAAATAGCTTCTAGCTCTTCCCTCGCAAAACAGTATCACAAGTTTTCGATAAGGTTCAAGTGAAAACATATTTCTGACTAGGGGCAGGATGATCTAAATTGTGTCTCATTTATTTTTATAATTTTTAATTTAAAAGCTTTAAGAATTTGAGATTTTCAACTCAAAGTTCTAAAAAACAAGACATATTTTGATGTAAACCTACTAAGTAAAGTTTCAATTTTTTAAGAAATTAATTATTTAAACAAGCTCTGCTATTACATCTGGTGTATTATTCCTTAAAAGGAGTATTCTCGTGTTGTGGAGGGAATGTTCAGTTTAATTTAGCTTCTAAAAGAAATCTATGAATTAAGAAATTAAATAAATGAAATTTTGCGATAATCATACTTTCTGTATCAAGAGTCATCGATCTAGGATGAACAGGAGCTGGTGGTATATTTTCTTGATGACTGGAAGAAACAGTCATTGATTTAGTACGTGCTTCCAGTCCATCCAATGTATTTATTAATGATGTATGTTGTGAAGATAATGGAAAAGCAGATGATTGATCAATATTATCTGTTGTAACACTTGTTGACATAGAACTAAATAAATTTACAAACATAAATTATCAAAAAAATAATAACAATCTTTTCGTACGGTGTTTGACGTGATGGAAGTGGTGGTGGTATTTTTGTACTAATTTGTCCACTGGATGTGGATTTATTCATATCGGAACCTTTCTATTTAAACAGAAAAAAATATATGCCTTGCATGAATTTTACAATTTTTAACATCAAACAACAAATTTAGTTATTTTTTCATGCAACACATCAATTAGACAAAACATTAATTTTTTTTACCTCGTCCTATAAAAAAATTCGTTTTTTAAAAATGAATAAATTATTTAAAATTTTTTTTTTTTGAGTTTATTTCAAATGAACTTACTCGTCCTGTTGCTCTTGAGTATGTTGCAAAATGTCCAATATTCTTATCAACAAGACGCATAACATTAATAATATTTGTTTCATCATTTTCTTCTGCTATTGGTGTTTTTTGTGTTGTTGGATTTATTTTAAATTGAATTTTTGATATTGGAAAATCATCATCCCCCTCACCACTTGAATCACTTGAACTTGTTGATTTACGTAACGTTGATGTTGAAAATGGTATTGTACTTTGACATATGGGACGATTAATACTACTATTAGGAATTGTTGGACTGGATTGTGTATATGGTTCAGGTGTTGGCTAAGAAAAAAAAATGATTAAAAAAAAATAAAAGGTCAAAGAAAAATGTCTTTTACACATTTGCTTTTAGTTCTACTTGATGATATTTGATCAAGACCATCCATACTACCCATCATTTTATTAATATCATTTGTTTCAACAACTGAATGTTGTGAGTTAACTGAACCATTTTCATCATGTTGTTGTAATTGAACTGTTTTAGTTGATTTGGTATTATTTGATGTTTTCTTGTCAGCTTTTTTATCTTTTTTATCTTTACGATTTGATGGCCAAAAACCTACTTAAATACATTATAATGCTTTAGTTTCTCATGCAAATAATTCTATTCATTTCTTTTTTTTTCTTATGAATTCTTTGCATCTGATACAATAATGTACCTTTAAATGCTGGTCGTCGTATTTTAACATCAAATGGATTTGATGCCTGTTCATTGCTTGTTTCTTGTAAACGTGCTAATGGATTATTTGGATTACTAAGACTCATTGGTGGAGTATTAGATATTGGAGATATTGTTGGATTATTATTTGGTACATATTGATGACCAAGAGAAGAAGTTGATGCTAATGCTAAAAAAATGACGAATAACATGAAAGAAAAGGTATCAAAATGTAAACAAAAACAATTATTCATTGTATGGTTTTATACTACCATAAAGCAAAGGGCGCGCTGATTAATTGAAAATAGTCGAAAGGAGAACCTAATCATGTAGCAGAAAAAGATTTGCGTGTTTTGTGAAAAAAAAAACGAAATGACTTTGTTTTATGTATAATTGCTATGTATTCCTCTCTTTTGATGCTTTATTTATTTTTGCTTATATGTGTCATACAAACCATGTAAAAATTTACAATAATGATGATGAACTGAATTTATTGATAGAATAGACAAAGAGTAAAAGAATAAAATCTTACCTCGATTACTATCACTTTTTTTCATATTTGTTGTTGATGGCCATCCAGATGAAATAGTCGGTGATGAAACAGGAAAATGTGCTTGAAATGATGGTAAATTTGTTTCCGGTGTATCAAATGTAATTAATTCATCCGACGGACAACCTGATGAATCAAGTGTTATTGATGAAGGAAGATTTGTAGAATTTGGTAAGTTTAATGATGTTTTTATATTATCTATTTCTTCAAATTGTACAGGAACTGTATCAACGAATGTTAAAAAAGAAACAATGAAAAATGAAAAAACAAAGCATAGTAATAAAAAAAAAAATAGATTGACTCATAGATAAGAGTGCAGGATATTTACCGGGTCGTTCTACGCCTGTTTTTTTCTGTTCGACAAAGGTCTCAATAAGGTCATTACCAGTGAATTGTTTAATTTTTTCAATAAATTCATTTTGTGCTACACCTGTTTGTTCATTATTACGTTTAAGTATTTCAGAATAATTAAGTGAAAATGCAAGCATTTTTTCAACATGTTCACCTTCAAAATCTTGAAATTTTGTACAAGCTTAAACGAAAAAAAAGCAAGCAAAGAACATAATTGATTTATTTTTTATTTGTAATTCAATTTAAAATAATCAATTCAAAAAAACAAGAAGTACTAATCAGGTACGATAGCTTCATTTTCATACGAGCGAATATTGTTATGATTAAATTAGTTACCAATATACACCCACGTTTTTCATTACAACTTTTAAATTATTGAATTTTGTTAGTAATAAAATTTTAGATATGATTGTCAATATATGATATTTGTATGAAGAATTTTTTAAATCTACCGAAAAATGATCCAAAACATTCGATTGAAAAAAAAAAATACTTTCATTGATAATCTACATCGAGGAAATTTATCGCGATTTATATTTGATAATCATTAATTGTTCAAAATTCTACTCCAATAATACATAGAAAAGCATAGAAAGAGATCAACAATGAAAAGTTTTAATCTAGACATATATATATATATGTATATGTCAGTGTATTATTACACAAAACGAAATTACGTGTTTGAAAGGACACAAACTTATAATTATCATCATTTTCATTTCAAACGTATTCTATCTTAAATTTTCGAGAATATTTCGAAGAGAAAATCGAACAATTCTTATCCATTATTGTTAAAACGAAAATTCATTGAGCATGAAGAATTCATTAAAAACAAGAATGCAAATCTTGCTTTGACGTTTTAATCTTATTGATATTTGACCTTGAGGGTAAGAGATAAAAAGCTTAAATGTAATCAAAATCGAAGGATATCTGTTTACTCTCAACAAAACAAAGAAACCTTTCAAAATAAAAAATGTTATTAATTTACCATCATAAAAACGTTTTTCAAATTCATTTCTTAATGAATTATATTTTTCAATTGATGCTCTATAATCATCATGTGACTGACGAAATTTTTTTTCTAAACGTTCAATTTGCCTTGATGATGATGTTAATGTATTCAGTGCTGTTTGTGCAAGACTACTTGTTGTATTATTATCTTGTGGTACAGGTGTTGATGAACCATTTGTTAAATTATTTCCTGAACGTTTAGCACGTTCATAATCTAATCCAATGGAATGATATTGTTCTTTAGCTTTATTAACTGTATTTAATGCATTGTTTAATTGTGATATAAGGTCAGCTGTACGTGCTATATCAGGATCTTTTTGCATAGATGTTTTAACTTTTTTTAAATATGAATCATGATAATTATGTATCTCACGTAATAGATCTTGATAATATGAAACTGTTGTTGAATGTGCTAAAGCAATTTTTTCTAGTAAATCTCTTATTGAATACCATATTGGTGTAAATGTTCCAACATGTTGAACTTTTAATAATTGAGCTTGTAAACGAGATAGATTTTTACAATATGTTGATTCATGTTGTAAACTAAATAGAACGCAAAAAAGAAAGAAAAATAACTTAATGAATATTTCTGACATACTTTTCATTGAGAAATCGTTGAAATTCTTCGATGGCAATACCACCATTTTTTACATTTGTTGATAATACTTCAAAACCTCGATTACCTTCGCCCCAAAATGTATCACTCCAATGAACCATTGGAATAATAAGATCTAAAATGATTAAATATAATTTGTATGTTGTTCTCGAACGAATGAAAAGAAAAGAACATTTTTTTCTCTCTCTCCTTCGCTCTTTCAACAGCCAATTGATATATTAATCGCTAGTGATCATGAATATATTTTCATTGATTGTAGCGCCTTATGTTTGAAAAGAAACAGTTTGTCTTTTTTTTTTTTTGTTTTTTCTATATGCGCTTATCTAATTACCATGGCTGAAAAATCCTCACGATCAAATACAAATGTACAAACATCATCATCATCTAAAATGGCTACAACTTTAATGGCTTATGCTCAGTTAGAAATAGATAATAGTGTAACATGTATACCAAGGTAGATTAATTAAATAAATATTGATTAATTATTTATTATGATTTGATTAGGCTTTGTAAATTTAATATTGTTCGTATTGTATTACATCGATCAATTGATAGTGGAGATTTGAATGCAATTGTTCTTGCAGTAAAAATTCAAGTAAGATTAAATTAGTTTATTTATTAATTTACCGTTTTGTCTTCATTGATTAGAGTAATAGACGAACATTCCGTTGTTGTGAAATTCCTCTTCAACAAGATGGAACTTTAGATGCACCTGTTAATCTACAATATTTTATAACTGTTCGTTTGAATTGTTTTCTTTATTATTTAAAAATAATAAGGTTTTTTCTTTGTTTTTACATATAGTATCCTCATTACTTTAAAAGAGATATAAATAATGTTCAAATTTATGTTCAACGAAGAAAAAATCGACCAATGATTGGTTATAAAACATTAGCAAAAGGCGAAGTGAATCTCGATCATGTAAGTTTTTTATATATGATTTTTTAGATAATATCTATTGTATAACTACAGACCGAAAATGCGTGCTTGAATAAGATAACTATCCAAAATATTGATGAATTGCAATAGATTCGGGCATTTTAAAAAGAATCTTATTTAGTATAAAACCTTCTTGTGGATCTATACAAAAGAATAATACTCTCATTATTATACGATTTATCATGGATTTCTGCGGAGTTACAAAAAATCTATCGTGTTTTCTAACTAACATTCAATGAATGGATAGATGTTGAAAATAGATTCAAGAGTCGTTCCCTTTTGTCTTGTAAGGCTAAGAAGAGTATGCTTTTATGTTAATGAGAACTAGTTGTTCGATTATTGTCTGTCTCTAAAAATATATTATTCAATTCATAACTATAGTTTTATCAAAGTATTCGATCATTTATATAAGGCATTGTATTTTCATACTCATTATTTTTAATTACTTTGAGTCATAAACAACAATGTCTAACATTAAGGTCATTCAACATCCGCAAAGTATGAATCTTCATTTATATTTAAATACAAATGAAAAATCTAAACAACAAATACGTTCAATAAATCAAGATGAATTATCTACTACGAAAATCGAAAAATATCTTGTTGGTTATGTATCAATAGTTTCTTTATCAAGTACAATTCCAAATGAATCTGAAACTATAGCACGTCCAGAACTTGGATTAACATCAAATCGATTATCAATAAAACATCATCATTTTGGTAAAAATAATTTTTTATTGATTTTCTTTTGTCTTATATTTATTTTTTTTCATTCTTAAGATAAATCATTTAATGATGATGATGAATATATCGAAGAAGAAGAATTAAATTCTGAACTTGAAGATAGTGATCTTGAATTTAATAGTAAAAATAAACAAAAATTTAATCCAAATATAATACGAAATAAATTAATTCAAATGTTTAAACGTAAAAGTGTTCAATCAGCAACAAATTTAAATAAAAATTCTACTACAACAACAACCAATACAACAACACATTCAACAAATTTAAATAATCAACATGCGAGATTTAAATTAAATCGTCAATCAGATATTGAAGAAGAAGAAGATCCTCCATCAGATATGAGTGATAGTACAATACCTGTTGATCAATGGAGTATTGAATCTGTACCTAAACCAGGTTTTACACCAGTTGAACATTTACAAATACTCAAAATTGTAAGTGAAATAAAAGAAAATGCATCAATACAAAGAAAAGAACTTCCTTTCTTTTTCGTTGATTTTTATAGTGTGAAGATGACCCATGCTCAACAAGAAAATCAACAAATCCATTTGATAGTAATGATAGTCCATTAGATTCAGATACATCGGATTTTGGTATAGATATTGATCGAACACAATTACCTCAACAAATCATATCAATACCTGAAGAAAAATTACTACAACGTTCAACAGTTTGTTTTAATATAGTTTGAATATTTTAAAACTATTTACAGTATATTTAGAATATACGTGATAATTCTATTAAACAATTTGATGAACTCTATGCGAATGATCGCCTTCCGGATTCTGTTATATTTCTTTATACAGGTCTTAATCAATCGAATGTAAGTTAAGGATGGTGAGCGTTTTCTAAATGATTTGACTCAATTAGAAAAAATAGACGCATCCGGTTCGCCTAGAATTTTAAGTTATTATAGGATGCATTATTTTATGCTACTTCTAGAAGTTTCAGCTTGAAGCACTGAATTTTTAAGGCTAGTTCTAATCTTGTCTAAGATAATTAGGTCAAATTTGAGTTCATTTACTTTTTAGATTTCGAGTTATATAGAAGAAACTATTTGAAAACGTTTCATATACCATTCGATAGAGAATTTAATTGTCAACAATGCTGAAAATTTAAGAATACTATCCTGGTTAATACTAGGTTAGATACATTTCAGGTATCGTCTCATTCGTGTCGAAGCTGTTGTAATCTTATTTTGTAACAGACCCTGAAGCAATTCTCTAACCATAAATAGAGTATTGTAAAAGCTGCAAAATGATGTTAAAAATAATTAGGAACATGTCTATCTTTTGTCACTTTCAATCATCGTAGTGCGCAGCTCGATAATACGTCAATAAAAACCTGAGGACACTTTCGCCTATTTTTTTGTTTTTCCCATTATAATGTGTTTTTGTATACAAAACAAATTAAATATTCGAAATTAGTAGAAAAATCTGAATAGAATAATATGTGTGTCAATGAAAATTTTTTTTGATAAAAAAAAAATCATTTGTAATCACTCTCAAGCAAAATTAAGTTTTTTTGCACGATTTCTTGACGTCAATTTGTAGTTTTTGAAATATTGAATACATGGTTAAAAAAACATCACTTCGGATTTTTATAAGATGATGTCAAAGTGGCTTATATCCCAACGAGATTTTACCCAAAAAAATGAGTCTAAGTTAGAGATGCCCAGAATAGTTTTCTTAAATTTTCAGTTTTGTTCAGAATTAATTTCACTGTCGAATGACAGATGAAACGTCTTCAAATAGTTTTCTTTTATGCAACTCATGATCAAACAAACAAATGGACTGAAATTTAACTTAAGTATCTTAGTCTAGTTTAGAGTTAATCTCAAAAATTCAACATGCCAAGCTGAAACTTCTAGAAGTAGCATAAAATAATGCATCCTATAATAACTTAAAATTCTAGGCGAACCGGATGCGTCTATTTTTTCTAATTGAGTCAAATCATTTAGAAAACGCTCACCATCCTTAACTTACATTCGATTGATTAAGACCTGTATAAAGAAATATAACAGAATCCGGAAGGCGATCA